TCATCTCATACTTGTTCATCATATCCTCCTTGAACTCTTTCAACATCTCATTGCAACTTCCAGTGTAAACAATATCATCTACATATATTGACACAATAACTGTACCCATACCTTCTTTGATCTTCACATACAGAGTAGCTTCGCTTATACTCCTCTGAAATCCACACTTGAGTAGATGAGTATCAATTTCACCATACCAGGCCCTTGGTGCCTGCTTCAAGCCATAAAGGGCCTTCTTTAACTTATAAACCTTGTCTTCTTCTCCCTTAACTTCAAAACCTTCAGGTTGCTCGATGTAAACTTCCTCCTTCAACACTCCATTTAGAAATGCTGATTTCACATCCAATTGGAAAAGTTTCCAATTCCTTTGAGCAGCCAGAGCAATTAGAGTTCTAATTGTATCCAATCTTGCCACTGGAGCAAAAGTTTCGTTGAAATCTACTCCTGGCTTCTGTGTGTATCCCTTAGCTACAAGCCGTGCCTTGTGCTTTTGGATAGAACCATCAAGATTCAGCTTTGTCTTGAAGATCCATCTCACACCCACAACTGGTTTGTTACCAGGTCTGTTAATCATCTCCCATGTAGAATTTTTCTCGATCATTGTGATCTCTTCTCTCATAGCTTGATTCCAAGCCTCATCTTGAGTTGCTTCAGCAAAGTTTTCAGGTTCCACAATGCTTACTTTGCATTGTGCAAAGATGTCATTTAGACTCTTCCACTTCACAGGTGTGTGATCATAAAGTTCAGAAGTTTCAGCTTCATTTGATGTAGATCGGGTACTTGGTGAGGCATCATTTGATGGAGATCGGGCATATGGAGAAGATAGAGTTTGATTAGGAGACTCAAACTCCATCTCACCTTCAGTCATCCCTGTTTCCTCACTATTGTTCCAAGAAATTGACATGTGCACATCTTCATTTGTTTCCCAATTCCATAGAGATTTCTCATCAAATATCACACTTCTTGACACAATTACTTTCTGAGTTCTCAAGTTAAACACCCTGTACCCTTTCTCACAGGTTCCATATCCAACAAAGACTCCTTTCTCACCAGTTTCTTCCAACTTATGCCTCTGCTGAGATGGAATATGAGTATAGCAGAGAGAACCAAACACTCTCATATGCTTTACTCCAGGTTTTCTTCCACTGAATGCTTCAAACGGGGTCTTGTTCTTAAGAGCACTTGTAGGACACCTATTGAGAATGTAGACTGTAGTGTTAACTGCTTCTCCCCAGAACTTGGTAGGCATTCTCTTTTCATGAAGCATTGTTCTAGCCATCTCCACAATGGTTCTATTCTTCCTCTCTGCAACTCCATTTTGTTGAGGAGAATAGGCCACTGTTAATTGCCTTTCAAGCCCCAAGTCTTCACAAAACTTGCTGAATTCTGTTGAAGTGTATTCACCACCTCTATCTGACCTTAGCTTCTTGATCTGAAATCCACTTTGCAACTCCACCATGGCTTTAAATCTTTTGAACACTGAGAAAACACTTGATTTGTGTTGCAAAAAGAACACCCAACACATCCTTGTATGATCATCAATGAAAGTGAGGAAATATCTGTTTCCTCCAATTGTAGTGACCTGCATCGGGCCACACACATCTGAGTGTACTAACTCCAATGGTTGTGAAGCTCTCCACACTTCAGTTCTGTCAAATGCTTCTCTGTGAGCCTTGCCCGTAGCACAACCCTCACACACATCTCTAAAACTTTCCAACTTAGGGAGTCCAACCACCATTTCTTTATCTTGTAGCATCTTCAGACTAACATAGTTCAAGTGACCAAATCTTCTATGCCATTTCCATGAGTGATCCTCAACTTCTGCTTTATTTGCCATCACGGGGTTCATGAATTCAAACTTCATAGGGAAGCATCTATTCCCTTTCATTGGAACATTAGCCACCAGCTCTTTCATTTCCTTATCAGCATATATGTTCACCATGGAATCACCAAATACTAGCCAATAGCCATGCTCAATCATTTGTCCAACACTTAGAAGATTTTCATCTAAGCCCGGTACAATCATCACTTCTTGTATGTATCTGGGACCATCCTTCAGCTCAATTACAAGGGTCCCTTTTCCAGAAGCTTGAACCAATTCCCCTGTTCCCATCTTCACCTTGCACTTCAAGCTCCTATCAATGTTAGAGAGTAGTGACTCGTGAGCTGTCATATGGTTACTGCACCCACTATCAATATACCAAGCACCAAAGTCAGTTGGCTTTGACAGCGAATGAGAGGCATAGAACATGTTGGTTGTCTCCGATGTTTGATTCTCTGCAAAATGAGCAACTGGTCCAGCCTTGTTCTGTATATTGCTAGAGCAATTCCTAGCAATGTGACCAAATTTGCTGCATCGATGACACTTAACTTTATCTTTGAACCAACATTCACCATAATGCAACTTGTTACAGTGTTTGCAAGTTCCTTTGTTCTGATCATTCTTGTTAGATTGATCACCCCTCCAGTTTTCATTCTTCCCACCCGAATTGGGTTTATCTTCCCACTTCTTTCCTTTATTCTTCCAATTCTTCTTGGATTGACCACTGCCTGCAGAAGATGAGGAGTTGGCTCCCTTCATACTCATACTAGCAAATGCCTTCTCAACAATATTTTCAGAGTGTCTCTCAAGCCTTTGCTCGAACACCTTCAGGGTGGCCACAACCTCCTGCACTTCTATTGTATCCAAATCCTTGGTCTGTTCAATGACCGTGCAAACAGGGTCATAAGTCTTAGTAAGACTTATCAACAATTTTTGCACAATTCTACTCTTAGATAACTCTCCTTCAGAGTTTTTAATTTGGGCACCCATGCTCTTCATTTCATTTATCAATTCAAATAGTCTAGTCAAATAAGCAGATAGAGATTCATCTTCACGCATACGAGTATACTCAAAATCTCTTCTCAAACCTTGTAGTTTGACTGACCTAACACGCTCATCTCCTCTGTATTCTTGCTGTAACAGATCCCAAGCTCCTTTTGCAGTCACCTCATTTGAAATTCTGGGGAAGAGCTCATCTGAAACAGCTCCTTGGATGAGATCCAGTGCCTTTGCATCTTGCTTCAAGAGCTCAGACAACAACGACTTGTCTGATGTCTCCGTCTCCTTCTTCTTGCCTTTTGGATCTGGAATTGGTACACCTTCTTCAACCAATTCCCAGATTCCGTACGATCTGAGAATCGTCTTCATACGAATCCTCCAAAGCTCGTAGTTTTCTCCATTGAATATTGGAGTTCGTGACTCCCTTCCAACCGAACCAGCCATGTGAGACTGAATCGATTTAGGATATGAAGATTTTGCGTTGAAATCTTCAAATACCCGCAGCGGAATCGACACCCAGATTCAAGAACGAACCTGGCGCTCTGATACCATGTTAAAGTATTAGGTACTGATTTGGATTTTAGGGAGAAAAAGGGAAGGAGATGAGAGAAGGAGCTGGAAGAATATATGTTTCTGCAGAAAAACGTATTAGCTGCTGTGCTAAAAAGCTCAGCTATATTTCTCTTCTTTTTATCAAACGATTTACATCAGCAAAGGTACAAAATTGAACCACCAATGTGTGTATGACACTTGGCAATTTCCTATAGGCATTTGAGCCACACAAAATTCTCCTAGCAGAAAATACATCTAAGCTGTTACTTAGACATTCCAGCTGTAAGCAGTAAAGCAGTAAAACAGTAACAGTAAATCAGTAAACCAATTTACACATCAACACGATGTTCTCCTACAACTAAAATGTTGCGGTTCACTATCTATGCTGCAGTACTAATGCAGAAAAAACCTACTACCCATCCATGGAGTAATTCAGTGTTCTTCTCACTTCTTACTCCACTATAGCTATCAATGTCATACACTCCTCCCAATGGCTCTAGTAGAATAGAGAACCTGAAAGTATAGTGCATGTTGTTTCTACACAGGATAATAATCTTGGTCACCAATGAAATTATTCAAGAACTTTGTGGGAAAAAGAATCGGAAACTCCAGATTATCTGAAGATTTGCGACCCATCATTGCATGCCAATAGGGATTTGAGTGTTTATTGGCATACACAACATCTCCCAGTAGTCTGGCTGAAAGGAAACCTGCATTAAAAATCATAACAAGCAAGCATTAAGGTTTGATAAGCTTCTTGTGCTGATATAGAAAGTTCATATTGTTTGACAAAAAAAAAAAAATGTTCAAAAGGCAAGTTTATTATCACCTCATGAAACGAATCATTGACAGCTAGAATATCAGAACCAGACGAGAAGCAGCCACCAGGTAAACCAACATCAAGGGTTGAAATATCATTATTGTCTATAAGACAAGAATCCTAGCTGGTATTTTAGAGATATTCGTGCTGATAACGTGTTATAAAACTAAAGAAATTGAAGAGAGAATTTAGAGAATTCAAATAGCGATAGGAATGCTCTTCTAATATTTTCATTATTTCTTTCTTTCTTTCTATATTCTCTATCTATCACTTACAAAATGAGGAATCATATTAGCAGCAGCAGCAGCTTGATCATCTTTATAATTGGAGGCGATACCAGGTTCAGCTAATTTATCGCAGATTGAATCATACCTCCGCTTCTTATAATTCACTGACTTAGTTGTTAGGTGGTTTAGAACTACTCCCCCTGCTGATTGGGATTAGGACCCAGTTGGGCATGTTTAGTTTTGGGGAGAGAAAACTCATGCATGACATAGTTGGTTATCTTGCCTTTGGGCGCACGACCTTCCAAGAAAGGCAAAATCCTCTTATTACCAATCACAGCTTGGGATAGTTCAGCCTTGACCTCACGAACATGGCCTGTGCTTTTATAAAAGCCCTCACCTGTTGTCCTAAAGCAGCGATTGCTGTTGGTGTTCATGTAATTAGGTTTGCTGAAGAAGTACTCTGAAATGGAAAATATAGAAAACATGAAACCAACGCACTTCAAGTCTTTCAAGTACTCAACAACACAACAGCAAAACAAGATCATAAATGCATGCATACAACAAAATAGCACATTAGAAATAAGAAAAGGGTTGGCTTTTCCAAGAGCATTGAAATCGAAATGCAGAACAAAACAAAATTCGGAAACCAAGCTACTCATACAACAACAAAAACATAACTGATGAACATCAAGATCATAAATTTATGCATACAACAAAACAGTACATTAGAAATGAGAATAGGGATGGCTTTTCCAAGGGCATTGACATCGAAATGCAGAACAAAACAAAATTCGGAAACCAAGTTACTCATACAACAACAACATAACTGATGAACATCAAGATCATAAATTTATGCATACAGCAAAACAGAACATTAGAAATGAGAAAAGGGTTGGCTTTTCAATAGCATTGAAATCTAATTGCAGCACAAAACAAAATTTGGAAACCAAGCTACTCAATAACAACAACAGAACTGATCAAGATCATGATCAAGTTCAAGATCATAAATTTATAGAAACAAAAACAGAGTAACATTCGAAATGATTAATGGGTTACCAGGCAGATCACGAGGCTCGAGCTCGCACACATTGATTTCAGGGATGAAGCTGAATTCAGAGTCCTCGCCCGCTATCTTCTTCTTCAAGTAGTAGGAAAGCAGTTCCTCATCGGTGGGAGAGAACCTAAATCCGGGTAGTAGGCTCGTCGGCACTGAAACCCCTCCATCTGTTGTGCCGCCGCTGTTGCTCATCTCTCCTCCTCCTCCTTCTCCTCCTTCTCCTCCTAGTGAACTAAAAGACTTATATCAATCAATGCTTTTGGCTCAGTGAGCAAACAGCACCAGAGTGAAGCTGTATTTATACTAATTTTGAGCTGAGCTTCTCATACAAGTTCACCTGAGTGAGTGACGTCGCATGGCTTGCGTCATACCAGTGGGTCCCATCCAGTACTTTCCCTCCTTTTATTTTATTGTATTTTGTATTTGTTTACGTGCAAGTGGCTGTGCAAAGAGAGTAACAACACCAGTTAAGGGAGGCAGTGTAGCATGGCAGGACAGGGACAAAGGCCGGCTAGGACAAGACATGACAAGGCTCGGCGAGCGATGACGTGGCTCACGGAGGAGACTAAGATCGGGCCATCATGGCCAAGAGAGATAAATGGAGCTGTCGTGGGTTGCCACGGGAGAGCTGGATGGAGAAGGGCTCAGTGAGCAGTGACAAGGGTCACGTGCATGGTTGCTAAGGAACATGGATGAGCAGCCGCAGGTTTCCACGGTAGTGCTCGACGGAGGAAATGCTTCGGTGAATGATGAAGTAGTCACAATCGCAGAAACAGAAAAGTAACAAAAAGGAAGGGGCTCAATCTGACAGCAACAGAGAGCATGACAAGGGGGAGAAGGCTCAATCTTCAACAGAGAGCATAAGAAAGAGAAATGACTCAATCTTCAACAGAGAGCATTAAAGGGAGAAAGGGCTCAATCTTCAACAGAGAGCTAGACATAGAGAGTGAAGGATAAAGGCTCAATCAAGGAGCAGAGAGCTTGACAGGGAGGGTTGAAAATAAAAGGAAATGGCAGTGGTAGGGACTGGTTGAGAAAAAAAAAAAAATATTGGTTTTATAGAAGGGAGGAGAAGCTGGAGAACTATACAGAAGCAAACACCCTTTCGGGTGAGGAGAGCCAACGACTCTCAATATTGGCGGCAAATGAAGGATCGCTAATTGGCGCTAGCCATTAGCTCTGATACCATGAAAGATTTGATGATTGAACGATGTTTTGCTTGATTGATTCATCGGTATTTATACAAGATAGATAATAATAAACTAAGAGACAATACAAAGTGGTACATGATGGATACAAAGATTAACAACATAAAGCTAAGATAGTGGTGGATAATGAGTTGGTGGATTGGTGGATAACATGTTCTCTAATAGAAGGAATATAAGGAGAATGCTTGTAAAGAAAGCCACGTTAGCTGTTGAGGAGGAATGGCAAGCGTCGTCCGGAATATAACGGACCTGCTCTTGGAAGTTCAAAAAGACTAGTAATTTTCTTTCCTTATCATTTGATTTTTGAGGGGGACATTCTAGACTTCTGACACATGGATCAGATCAAAGGCTTTACTCACCCAAGAAGTAGTAAGCACTTTTGGGCTCTTGATCAAAGCTATATCCATAAAGAAGTATTATTTGGGATGTTAAGAATCTATTTAAATTATAAAACAGGTTTAGATTTCAAATTGGCAATCATTTTTGTAGTTCTTACGAGTTTTTACTCTTGTCTTGTCTATATAGTTATTTGCATTTGTTGTTAATCCATTAATTAAGTTTAATTTTTTTATCTTTTTTTAGTGCGTACTTTCTTATTTGAAAATTTCAGTTTTGTTTTTTTTTTCCGCTTAAAATGAGTGTCGGGTTTTTGAAGAACATTTTTTGGAGTTCTAAATTTTTTTTTAGGTTTTCAACCGAAATTGTCCTCCAACTAGTGCTTTAGTATCATTTTGGTCCATCAACTAAATTTTTCACTTCAATAATCCTTTATCTCTTCATTTGGTATCAAAACAATCCTGCTGTCAAATATTCCATAAAATTGAGGGGTAAAAAAAGTAAAAAATAAAAACTGAAATGCCCAAACATCTAAAAACCCCACACACAAAAAATTCTGAGTTTCCCTTCCTCGGCAAGCAAGCACAGTGGCTTCCATGGCTTCCACAAAAAATCTAACTCAAACCCATCACAGTCTTTTACCTATTCACTCCCACTCAAATCAAACCCATGATCGCCTCCTCGTCTCTCTACCACCATCTCTTGCTGCTATTGCGATTTCAAGTTCTGGGCTTTCAACCAACCCCTCTTCCATTTCGGCAGAACCCATTCCCAAATTCTGAGAGATTGTGAAGCAAAACGTACTTGATAGCAGTGATTTTATTTGTTTTCTTTATTGTAATTTATATTTGTTTCTGTTCTTTTCCCATCATTCTTTCTCAAAACTGAACAATGACATATTAATGTCTTAGATGTCCTTACAAATTACTAATTCTTGGGGTCTAATAATAACAAGCATAAGCCAAACTTATTTGCTAGTTCTCTTCAAAAGTCATGATCCAAAATTCACTAACTGACTAGTCTCTTCAATCTACCAAAATATTTCATTCATTTATAGAATATAAGATACTTGATAAAACAAACCAAAAAACATGAAGCTCTCAATGACAAATATTTCATTCATTGATAGAATCTAAGATATTTAATGAGCCTATTTCCATACAAAGTCATCAATTATTTTCATCAAATGCAGAATGGCATGTCAATCATTGTGCTTTCACCCCACAAATTTGATGATTTGAAGCACAATGACATCTTTCTAGACATACACTCTAGCTATGTTCCAACTATATGTCTGTTATGTATAAGCTTTTCATAATTTTTTATCATTTAAAAACTTTTACTGTTATTGAACTCACGACAACAATGAAAACATTTTGAGGTAGTTCACGTACAACAGAGCAAGCTATCACAATTGCAAAATACCTCTTACCAATTCATTAGACATAAATGCAAGAATCAATCAACAAAGAACAAACGCATTGGCTGTTTCAAACAAAGAATCATCATAATCAGACAATTAAAATCAACTACATCAAATGGAAAATCCCAAGTTTCAAGATTCACATATCCAGAGCAATCTAAATCCATTTGATAAAAACCTAGATGGATGAGCATGAAGATTATTAAAAATAGATAACCCAGAGCAATCACAATAAAACCAATTTTAGAGGAACCCATAGAGATTAAGAAAATGACCATAAAGACTAAAAGTAGGAAATCAGAGCAATCAAAACAAAACCCATTTGATAGAAACCCATACAAAGTACACCAAATAATAAAAGAAGGCAGCCTATGAGAGCAAGGCAGAACCATGAATTTTTCAATGAGTGTGCTAGCTGAAGTTATTAGCTTAAAATCTAAAATCACGCCCCAACCCACGGATTTACATAACATTGGGTTAAGACATGATTCACACCTTAATTATAGAATTTAATAAAAATTATAACTAAAATGTGAAGAAACATTTAAATAAATAAAATAAATATTTCACATAGAATATTCAGCAGAAATCACAACATCTGAAATCTTAAAAATTTTACATTATTTTACAAGTTAGAACTACTCGAGTGTTTACTAAAAGAGTAGTTCATTATTCATCCACAAGCTATGTATACACTCTATAGATATGCCAAAATCATCACAAGCTCTAGATTTTAGGTTTGGTACCTGCAAAATCTGTTAGGGGGTGAGCGAAACCACAACTCAGGAGAGACATAAACCTTTTTATTTTATTTTATTTTTAATACATGAAATTGATATAAGTAAATTAAGTGACATACAATTACACAACCAAATATCACATTATTAATAATAATGCATGAATTCTCTTCATCTAATCCCATTAATTCATATAACTGGACAAGCAGACTTGCACGTCCTATACCATGCTTATACCACTTGGTCCCGAATGCCCATTTATATGAATTAACACCCATCTCAATCATCCCATAATTCCCCTTTTTTTAGTCATCTTGTCTAACTCCTTGTCGCCAGTCCCGAATCACCCAATAAAAACCATGTGCACTGTGGGATCCCTGAGACCTGGTATCTGCCAAGAGTTAGACTTAACTACACAAAAGACTATTTTCATTACCCTATTTTCCATTATTATTTTCTCCACCCAACAACTCCAACTAATTTCCAAGACATGATATAATTATGTATTTCACATATCCATATATCTCACAACAATGTTACATTTAAAACATCACCAATGTATATATATAATTATGCCAACATTATTCAACCAGTCAATAACACATAAACATTCTAGGGAAAACATTCAATTGTAACAAGAATATTAATCAAATAATTATATCATGCATAATATAGTGTTCACAAAATTTAATTAAATCAATTCCTAAAAATGCCCCCAAGAAACCCCTACCTTGACACCAAAACTTTTGCTAGAAACGTAAGGTGTTTCCCAATTTTCCACCGCATTTACAAACTCAGTCTCCCACTCTTTTTCTTAACAATTCTACTTTTCTCTATCTCTATTCCAAAGCTCAGCTCAAAATTTTAAGAAAACACAAGCTAAGCCATATATCTCCTCCAAGAATTTCATCACTTTACTCTCTCTCTTCTTTCTTTTTTTTTTTTTCTTTTTTTCTCTCTTTTTCTCTCTTTTACATGAACTTTCATGCAAGGTTAGTTTTTTTTTCAAAAGCAAAGGAAAACATAGTAATACTTAGGGGAGAATCAATTTGTTCTAATTGGTGGGGAGGTGATGACCACGTGGGAACTTGGGCTCCAAGATTAGGATAACTATTATCAAATTGCCAACACCTCACGCTAAAATAAAGCTTAGTCACCTAGGTAAAATGACACTTGGAGTCTAAAGTGTGTTTGTAAAAAAATCTAGGCTATTGAACTTGGTCAGAAAGAAACAAAGAGATAAAGTTGTCAAAAAATAAAGCATATATTTATTATAATATTACTATTTTTTAATAACTAATAAAAAATTCTGAAAATATAACACGTATAATTTTATATATATATATGCACATTTAACTATCTATGTTATGAACTAAATATGTAACAAAATTTTTAAGTTCCCAAAATAATATATATATGGGGTTTCACATCTAATGACCAATTTTTTTTGGGTACTTACTATTTCTATAGTTTTCTAGAAATAAAAGTATACATTGGGATAAAATAGTAAAAAGTAGAGAGTTAAAATCATGAGTGTTTATTAAGAGTTATGTTTCTGT